GCTGTAGTCCGCCGAGGTCGCCACGCGCCTCCCCGCTCCACCCCCTCGCGCTCCGCCCAAAATGTTATTTTATTTACAAGAAACCAGCTAACTTTCTGCAAAAACAAACCATCACGTATCCTAAATCATATGCTTACCTGACGACTTTTAGGGAAGTTAATTAGGAAGACCGGCCTTAAGGCCCTTGACCAGCTGATGCTGCGGATGTTAATAGCTTCCAGGGACCCGTAGATAATCAGATGGATCGAGGTCAGCTGTGAGAGACACAGGACAGAGATGCAGTACTACACTATCCAAGGAAGTGGATGGGTGTTTACTGACCCAGGAGAGGCACGATATTATGTGAAAAAGCAAGTTTCATAGACAACATAGTACCACTTTTGTATTATGATATTAGTAATAGCTAATGTTTGACGTTTTACTGTGTTCCATGTAGTATAACAAGCACCTCTTGTAGATTATTTTATTTTAGACTCATCACACCAATTAGGTGGGCACTATTCCTGGGGGAGGAGCTTGAGGCACAGAGAGGGTAAGCAAGCAGCCCCCGATCACACAGCTAGCGGAGGGCAGAGCTGGGACTGGAACCCAAACAGTCTGAGGGCTGAGCCCTTGCTATTAATCACACTGCAACATCCTTCCACACTACACCCTATTGACCTTCTCTTCAATGTGACATGTAAAAAAAAGGAGGTGTAGCCTAGTAACAGGGATGAGAATATCCAGAATACAGAAAACCCTTATTAATCTTTATTAATGTCAGGTTTAAGGGCAAGAGATTAAGGTGAAGATGGCCAAAAGAAGAACCTCGTGTATTTTAGAAAAAAATAAGTGAAAAAGAACAATCTACCATCATCAAAAAAACCTGAATTTAGCCCGTTTGGTGGTAAGGCACAGAGGATCCAGTGAGCTCCTTCCCCTCAAAGGGCACTCCGCATGGGGCGGAGAAGACAGCCAAGAAAAGAGACTGGCTCACATCTGCTGCACCGGAGGGAACCAGTGGCTGTCCCAGGGGAGCGGGGATAGGTGGATCACCAAGGGTTAAGATATTTGAGGGGCTTCACGGAGGAGGCACTCTTTGATGTAACCTACAGCACAGCAGAGCTTTAAAAAGAAAAAAAAAAGAACTCAGGAAGGTCAAGAGCTAAACAGAAGATACCATAAAAGGACTCTTGAGGAAGGACTGGGCTGGCATGTTGGGGAGCAGAGGGTCCTGGGAGTGAGGGCAAAGGAAAGCAGCAGAAAGTGACAGGGACCTATGGAAGGTGACTTTGCAGGCCAGGCTAAAAAGGCAGGTCTCATTCCCAGGGCCGTTCAAATAACAGATGGAGCAAAGGAGTGAGAGTACAGTACAGGAGGCTGCGTGAATATATCACATTCTACTTAAGACATATGTCTTGTAATTTTTGTCAGGAAATTAGGTTGTTTCCAATTTTTCCATATTATAAACAATCAGCCACCACCAATTTTGTGGCTAAATCTTGGAATGCATCCTTCTTTCCTACAGGTAAATTCCCAGGAATGGGAGTCCAGGGTGAAACTATATTCACCTTACAGGCTTTTGAAAGGAACTGCCAAAGAGCCTTCCAGAAAGATAGTTTTATTCCTTTCTCCAGTAGGGTGTAAGAACATTTGTCTTACGGCAAAGACATGGAATCAACTTAGGTGCTCATCAATGGTGGGTTGGACAAAGAAAATATGGTACATATACACCATGGAATACTATGCAGTCATTTAAAAAGAATGAAAGTCTGTCCTTTGCAGTAATGTGGATGCAGCTGGAGGCCATCATCCTAGGTGAATTAACAGAGGAACAGAAAACCAAATACTGCATGTTGTCACTTATAAGTGGGAGCTAAACACTGGGTACTCATGGAAACAAAGGCAACAGTAGACACTGGGGACTCCTGTGGGGGAGGGACAGAGGAGGGGAAGGGTTGAAAAACTACCTGCTGGACTCTAGGCTCACTACCTGGGTGATGGGATCAATCGTACCCCAAACCTCACCATCACGAAATATACCCATGTAACAAACCTGCACGTGTATCACCTGAATCTAAAAATTGAAATTACAAAAAAAAGTTTGTTTTCAATCTTGCTAAGATTGTTTTGTAGGCAAATACATGGTATTTTATTGTTTTATTCTATAATTTTTAATTAGCGATGTTAAACATCTTTCCTATCGGCCATTTAACATATTTTTTTCTTATGAGTTGCCTTCACTTATCTTCAGAGAAATTATCTATTGATATATCTCTTTTTCCTTTAACTTGGAAGTGCTCTTGATATGTTAAAATGTCTGCACTGCCACATTTTGCCATATTTGTTCTTCAGTTTGTGGTTTGCTTGCAGCTGTGCTTATGGCGTTCTCTGTATGGAAGTATTGTTTTATCAAAGACAAATCTATGGAATCTGTTTGCTGCATTGCTCCTGCCTTGGGTCATAAACTCTTACAGGTACTACAATGAACACTCGACGCTATGGCTACCATGATGCAGATGTTTGGTGTATCCTTCCAGAAAACCATTGGAGGAGTGACTTTTGCAAAATGTACCAGTCTCCCAAAGTATGCATTCAGGCAGAGTACGTCTGCTATTGAGGTGGCCTGCAAGGAGAAAACAGAGGCTGAGCACGAGGGCTTGCCATGGGGGGGCTCAGCTTTAGTTATCTAGTACCACCCCCTGACCCCCGCTACTATATTACCTTTCCTGTCTGGCACCCTCTGAGAATTTGCTGTGTCCCTTAATTTTACTGAAAATTGCAGCAACATTTTCTGCCGGTTAGAATGGTTTCTTCCTGGCCGGGTGCGGTGGCTCAAGCCTGTAATCCCAGCACTTTGGGAGGCCGAGACGGGCGGATCACGAGGTCAGGAGATCGAGACCATCCTGGCTAACACGGTGAAACCCCGTCTCTACTAAAAAATACAAAAAACTAGCTGGGCGAGGTGGCGGGCGCCTGTAGTCCCAGCTACTCGGGAGGCTGAGGCAGGAGAATGGCGTGAACCCGGGAGGCGGAGCTTGCAGTGAGCTGAGATCTGGCCACTGCACTCCAGCCTGGGCGACAGAGCCAGACTCCGTCTCAAAAAAAGAAAAAGAAAAAAAAAAAAAAAAGAATGGTTTCTTCCTCTGAAAAGGAAACCTGCCACTGAGTCACAAACTGCATGACCTATACTGGCAGGGATTCCTGGGAGGGGCTGCACCAGCAAGCTGAGGACCAAGAACACATTTCCCCAGAAAAGGGGGAGGGGGAGGTGAGAGGCAGGCACCGTCTATGCTCTCAAATTCCCCATGTTCAAATTCCAGACACCTAGAAGTCCCATTTCTCTAACAGTAAGGTCATTCCCCAAAGATGTGTTTGGGAATAATGGATCCTTCCGTAAAAGTCACAGCAGTGACTTTTCTCCCACGGCTGTCGGGCTGAGCGATCCCCTACTGGCACCAGTCTGAGGTCCTCACAGGAGGCGTCCAGGATGTTCTTTCTGCTCGTTGCGGTTTCCAGGCCAGGAGGAGCGGAGGCTGAGGCGGGGATTGTTCCAAGGGCAAGACCTGCTCACAGCTCACAGGGCAGACACAACCTTATTGTCCCAGGCCCCAGCCAGACGGAAGGCCTCGCTGGGAGTCCGTGTGCCAAAACCCGAGGTGAGGATTTCACTGAAAGGCAGAAGAAAGCCCTGCAGAGGCGGCAAGCCCTTCAACCGCTCCTCGCGGTTCCCCCCGCCCTTCCTGCCCAGCCGGGCAGGGCCGGGACGGGGCGGTGTCCATAGCCGGGGCGGTAGCGCCCCCTAGTGGCCTCTGCCCTGCCGCCAGGCGGAGAACAGAGGAATGGCTTCGGCAAGACTGACTCCCGGCTCTCCTGGAAGGACTCACGCAAGGTTTAGTCCCCTGCTCTTTAATGGTGAACACAGGGAACAGGGTGTAGGTCAAAGAATGAGTGAATTCTTAAGTCATGAGACGTTGATGGGACGGAATACTCAGCACTGTGTGTGCGCGCGCGCGTGTGTGTGTGTGTGTGTGTGTGTACCAACATGAAACAACCGTGCTGATGAAAATAGCAGGTTGTGGAACGATACATATGAAATATGTCGTAATATCCCATTTAGGACTTAGAAATGCAATTATACGTTAATATATCTAATATACATGACTGTAGTCCGATTCCGTTCCAGGATAAACAGCACACTCAGCAGGCACCCCTGGAAAAGGGGTGTCTGACTGAGTAGCCGGGGCGTGAGGAGAAGGAGGAATAAGGAGCAACTTCCAGCTTCTTACTCAGGTTCTGGATTGAATTATTTAAATGTCTTTGTATTATTGGCTAATTAAATGTCTTTGTATTAATGGCTAATAATGTCGAGGCTCCTTTCACGTTCTTAGGAAATGCCAGCCATATATAACATTTGAAAAGATTACATTGTAACTCAATACATTTAGTATAATGCTTTACGTAATAATAGATATTATACATACAAAGAAATAAGAGAGCCATCTCAGGGATGCCAGGACTCCACACACTGCAATGGCTGGGTCAGCGAAAACCTGGCTCCCGAATCCTGCTGGCAGTGGTGCTAGAGCATCAGTGCAAATGCCAGGCATGGTTTTAAGGCAGGAAGAGAGACTTGTCAGAGCACGCTCCGCCACAGCACTGACGGAAGCCAGCGCTGAGTCAGCATTGGCCCTGTCCTGGGCCTCCAGGGGCTCCCACAGTCCTGGGAGGGAGGTACCATTTGTCCGGAGTTTGCAGATGAGGAAATGGGTCATAGAGAGGTGTGGGTGGCGGAGAGCCAGGTGTGAAACCAGACAGTCTGGCCCTGGAATCCATGCCCCAAAGTCCTTGGCTTTGCTCCTGCAGGACATAGCCCAGAGGTCACTCTCAGAACCAAAGACCAGATGTCCCTCCCACGCTAGCTTCAGTTGCCACCCTGACACATGACATGCCACACATCTCAAGTCTTGCTGCACTGAAACCTCGGGTCATGGGGACGCACTCCCACTGATTCCCCTGCCTGATGGTGGGGCCCGTGACAAGACTTGGGAGAATGAGGGGCACAGTTGCCGGCTCTGCAAAGGATCACCTGTGCTCACGATGCCATGGTGATCTGGTATAGCCAAACCCTTAGAGACGGAAAATAGAAAGATGGGTGCCAGGGGCTTTGGGGAAAGGGAGATGGGCATTGTTTCATGTGGACAGGGTTTCAGTTTTGCAAGATGAAGAGTCCTGAGATGGATAGTGGCTGCACAACATGAGTGTACTTAGCACTTAGACGTTACATTGTGTTTACTTAACCACAGTGAAAAATTGTAAAAATAAAATAGGTCCCTTTTACGTTCCCAGAAGATGCATTTGCTGTCCTGGGAGATTTCCAATG